AGTGAGTTTAAAGATAGTCTTTACGATTTTATTACTCCTTGCAATAATTTAATGTTTTTTTGTGCCTTAAATTATCCTGAGGAGTTGCCAGACTTTATTCGCGACCGATTTACCATGATTGAAATTGAACCCCCTTCTTATCAACAAAGAATAGAAATTTTGCGAGGTCTATTAATGAGTTCTTTGAAAAAATTTGATGAGCCTTTTCAAGGGATTTACCACCAAACTTGAAAACAAATCTACGATGTTTTCAACCGAGAAGAATTATTGAAAAAGGCTTTGACTAAAACTTTAAGTATTCGAGGGGCTAAGGACAACATTGCTAATTTGATTAATCGAATGCGGGTTGATTTCTTGATACCAGAAAAAACACTTCCTTCTGATGTAGTTAACTACAATTGAAAATTCCGACCAAAAGAAGAAGATGATATTGGGGATAAAAGAAGAGGTCGCCCCCCTTGTCCTTTTGGTGAAGAAAGAAAAGAAAAAGGGAGTTCCAGTTTAGAACACCGAAAAGGCTGTAAGTGTTTTTTAAACAATTTAAATAGAGTGCCGGGGTGAAAGGAGAATATGGGGACTAGTTAACTTGTATAAGGTTCTTGGGTGAAAAGAAAATATGGGAAATGCTCCTGATTTTACTTAAAAATTTAGTCAAAATTATAAGTATTTTTTAAATGCTCTAACAATTGTCGGTAAGACACTAAGTTTTGAGAATTACTAATTGATCTTTCAATTATTTGGCATAAATCTTGAAAATATTTTTGTTTATATTCTCCTTTTGTTTGAGAAAGCCACCCTTCGATTTCTTCATAAGGCCATTTTGAAGTCTGTTCATAAATAGACAAGAATTCTTTTCATTTCTCCCGAACTTTTTCTCTTGGATATCGCTTTTTTTCTCTAACTCTTTCACTAAAAACTGGTAAGACTCCTGTTGATAAGGAATGATAAAATTCTTTTACTTTCGTTCTGCAAAATAAACGAGAATATGGAAAATCAATAATTTGTAAATAGTTAGGATTGGTGGCTCTCGAAAGAGCAGTATAAACTTGACCGCTCATAAAACATTTACTTAAATCAACCTTTAACCTTTCAATACCTTGCCCTTGACTTTTATGAATAGTAATTGCTCAAGAAGGAATTAAAGGAATTTGCTCTCTTCTAGCAGAAATAACTGGATTACCTTTTTCATCATAACTTTCTACTTTTTCTCAAATCCGCTCTCTCACCACAAGTTCCTTTCCATCGGCAAACTTCACGATGGGGTAAGGATCGTTTGTGAAACCAACTATTACTCCTTGGCTGCCATTCACTAAATTTTTTTCTCGTCAATTTTTAATTAACATTACTTGACAACCTTTTTTTAATTCTAATTCATCATGGGCAAGACAATCCTTTATTAATTCATTTAATTCTCCTGGGACATTCTCTTGGTCTTTTGCCAAAAAAGTATAATTTTTTCCTCGTAATTTCTTCATTTCTCTTCGATTAACGGCACTTATTTCTTTTTTGGTTGAAAGCAAAATGGTGGGTTCAATCCCATCATCTGGCCAGTTAGGCTCCCGACATAATTTTTTTAGCATAATTTCTCACTGTTCCCTTTCTAAACGAGCAAAATGAATATCGTTTAAGTAACTGATAAACCAATCATCCTTTTGTCGATATACTTGAACTAAATTAATAGTTTGGTTAATGCATTTTCTTCAAGTTGAGGTCTCGAAGCAAAACTGCGAAATTTGTCCGGGAGGAGGCAATTGACAAAAATCACCTACTAAAATTATTTGAATTCCTCCAAAAGGCTACTTGCTTTTGCGAATTATTTGAGCAATACTTTCCAATTTGTCGAAAACCTTTCCCTCCAACATGCTTATTTCATCAATAATTAATACTTGAGTATTCTCTCAATTCTTTCAAACCTTTTTATCAGCCGAAATTTTTTTTACCAAGGTTTCTTCATCCAGATGACCAACTATGCCAATTCCTAAATAAGAATGAAAGGTTTTCCCGCCAATAATCAATGCTCCAGTGCCGGTAGTAGAAGTAATTCCAACTTTATCTACTCCATGCTTTTTTTGTAAAAGTTTAATGAGGTGCCTTAAAAGAAAACTTTTACCAGTTCCAGCCGATCCGGTTAGAAAAATACTCTTCCCATCCAAAACTAACTTTTCAACTTGTTTTTGTTCTTGGTTTAATTCCTTATCTTTTTTATCTTCAACCGATGCTCTAAATAATTCTTGGTTATTTTTTCTTTCTTTGCGAAACTTGGTGGGTTTTTTTCGAAAGGGTCAAAGAACACATTTTAATATTAGTTTACCTGTTTTAAAAAGCAGTAGAACAATAAAAGTTATTAATCCATTTCTAGAACTAGAAACTCTTTTTCGTCGAGAATAATAATTTCTCTTTCTCCCTCAACGACTTCTTCTTCGCATGAGGAACTATCTTCTCTTTCTCTTTTTGTTAGTTATTAAGGCAACAATTAATCCAATTAGAGCAATTATTCCTATTCCTCCTACTATATAAGGTCAAATTTTGGTTTCTTTTGTCTTTTGTTCGGATTGATTTTTAAGTTTGTTAATTTCAACTTCTAATTCTTGCTTATCCATTTTGTTTTTTCCTACTTTCTTTAAATAATCTTTAAATTTCTTCCACATAGTTTTTTGTTCAGTGTCCATTAAAGTGGAAGTTTCTGATAGTTCTTCATCAGTAATAGTTTGAGGAGGAGGAGGAGGACTATTTGGATTAGTTTGATTTTGGTTGAAGGTGATTATTAAGTTTCCATTTTGGTTGGTAATGGAGTGGATGTTGTTGGCGAGGAAGTATTGTTGGAGTTGGGTTAGAGTGGGTAAAAAGAGTTGTGATCCTTGCTGATTAAGAAAAGTCTTTTTTAAACAAGTTGGACAAGGTTTAATGTCTCCAAAAGAATTTTGTTCAGTTTCTTTTCCACAATTACATTCTGTCGAAGTCCAAGAAAGTTCATGCTGCTTCCCTTGCCCATCATTAAACAACCAACCACCTGAATTATGGATATCCTTTTGACAAAGTTCTTTTACTTTTTCTTTGGCTTTAACTTCTCAATCTTTTAATTTATCATTAATGAACTTCTTACAAATATCGCAAATTTGACCTGATTTAACTCTATAAAACTCGTTTCAAACTGGAACAGTGGATGCTCCTTGGCTAGTTGCACCATTACAAATTTCATGATGCTCTCGACCTTGCTTATCTACTTCTGTTCCATTTTCATTAATATAAACTTTTTCCCGATGGTTTACAAAGCACTCAAAAATAGAACATTGAGTTCGGTTAGGGAGGTGTCCACAAGAACATTCTTTTTTTTCTTTTAACTCATATTTATTTGGTTCTATTTGAACTTTTTGCTGTGTTTCTTTATATTGCTTTTCACATTTAGCACAATTATTTAGTCAATTTTGTGACCACCCTTGTTCCTTTGACTCATTTTTTAAGCACTTAACACATAAATTGCTTTCTGAAACTGAATTTTTGCCACATCGTTCACATTTTTGCTCTCTCTCTCTCTCTCTCTCTCTCTCTCTCTATCATCTTTATCTTTTATTCTTTCGTTATAGAATTTACCGCCTAAATCATGGATGGCTTGTTGAATATCACTATAAAAGCAATCGAATCTTCTTTGGTCAATCCCAACTAATTTATGTCATTTTTCATCAACTTTCTTATGATTTTCCTGTGAAATCCATTTTGAACTTCATCCTCTTTTATCTGTATAATTTTCAAATTCTCCCCCCCGCCTCTTTTCAACTTTCTACAAATATTTCTTCAATCTCGTATCAAGTATTTAAATCATGATACTTTACCTTATCTCCATCATGAGTTTTTAGTGGAGGTTTAAAATTTGCTTCGCCATCTATTAAATATTTTGTAATATCGTATTTTTTATTGTATGTCATATTTTTATAAAACTGTTGATTTTAATTTCTTTTCTAAATAAGGAGTGGTTTTGTATTTTATTTGAGTTTTTCCTCCTAAAATTGGCTTATCAGTTTTTAATCAAAGTTTACCATCATTAGTCATCTCTGCTTTAATTGAACCTTCATTCAGTTTTCTTTTTAACACTTTTATTAACAACAATTCCTCCTCAGTATCTTCAATATTTTGAGAGGAAGGCGATAAATTAGGGTCGGACAATTCCCGCACAATTTTATTGATTTGTTCCTCTGGTAAACGAGGAGCATAATTATCTTTATTTTGGATTTGATTTTTTTTCATAGTTTAAACACTTTTTATCATATTTACTTCGCCGATGACAATGGAGAATTCATAAACGAGGAATACCAATTTCCCAATATCAAACTAAACGATAGGCTTTTTTGTCATGGCAAAAAGGTTCTCAATAAAAGGATTGTCATTCCGTTCCATCTGGTAATTTACCTTGGAGTTTCGGAACAAAATCTTTTTTCTTATCTAATTGTTTGACTATTTTGAGGATTTTTTTCATCATTCATATAAGAGCCATGTTCTTCCTCATAATGAGAACTAATAACTGTCATTTTAAATTCTCAACCATTAACCACTATTTTCTTTTTTAATGGATAAGGGCGGTAAACAATCTTTTTCTTAATCACTTTCATCTTTCACTATATATTAATTTTATTGTATAGATTTTTTTTTATACAAATAAGAACCTAAAAATATTTAATATGACCAACTCGGCCGCTTACTTCCAGGAATACAACCAAAAACCAGAACGCAAAAAATATCTTGCTAAAAAGTCCCAAGCAAGATATTATCAGCAAAAAAAAGGAACTGGTAAAATAATTTGTCCTAATTGTTCAACGGTTTGCGAACTTCAATTGAATATTAAAAAAAACAATAATTAACCTCCTAAATTTTTAATAGTTTGTTCTACTTCATAAAGAAAGCATTCATAAGTTCTGCCTTGACTTCCTGATAATTCTATTCACTTTTCTCGGTTTTCTCCGCACTGTTTCCAAGTTTGAGATAAAATTTGGACTAATTCTCTTCACTTAGCCAATTCCGAAGGTTTTTTTTTTCTAACTTGATATCATTTCCCTCAATATATTTAATAGTCATATAGATATTTTTCAAAAATTAATTAATAATGAGAGCCTTTATTCGCTGGATATTTTTTGAAAATAAAGAACTGGAAAAATTAATAAAGAATGATGAAAATAATGAAAATTGGCCGAACATCGAAACTTATACTGGGATAAATAATCGTTGATACGACCAAATTGATAACCAACAAAAAGAAATTAACCAATTAGAAATTAAAAACAACAAAACCCGCGAATTAATGACCGAGGTTCAAAAATGATTTATTGAAGAACATAACCTCCTCAGTAAACCAGCCAAAAGAGCTTTATTGGAAAAAGAAAAAGAACATTTTAGATTAACCCAAGAATTAAAACTTCACCAGCATAATTTAGACAAACCCAAAACTCCTTTGGAAGAATATGAAAAGCAATGTCTACTAAAAAAAATTGAGATTGGTCAAAGAAAACTTGACAAATGCGAGGGTGAAATGAAAGAACTTGGAGAGGCTTATCAAACTGAAAAACGAGAACTTTGTAAGCGTTTGGCTTATAGCAAAGAAGATATTCCAGATGCTTTTTTAAGAAATCCCGAAGAACGAATTGACCCAATTACTAGACAATTAGTGATTGACCATGAAGATTATTCGAAATGATGAAGAAATTTTTTTGAAATTGACCGAGAAAGCAAACCCTTGGCTGAATTAAATAAGCGTATAGATGAATGATACGAACACAATGAAGGCAGAGGAACTGAATATAACCCCCTATGAAATTTGAGTAGAGGAAAAAACTGATGATAGTTTGGTTTTTTTATGAAAGCTAGTAGAACGGGAGTTGGAGAGCTTTAATGAGAAGAAAGAAAAAGTAAAAATCAATGGGCAATATTTAGCACTTTGTAAAAATTATCTTTTCAATTATTACGGCGAATGATATGAGGTTGCAGATTATTATCAACCAAATTATACTTCGGTGGTGATTATAGCAAAAAAAAGTATTTTTTATAATTACTACCGTGCTCTCATTTATTGTCAAGCCAATGTAATCATTCATCATGCTCCGCCTGAAATTGCTCGTAGAGAAATTTGTTCTTGTCCCAATTATGAGATTTATACTGACAGAAATTCTTTTATTTTAGACTATGAACTTAAATTTAATCTTTTTACAGTTAAAAAAAAAGAAACTAGGGAAATTGTTGATGTTAGAGACGAGGCTAGCAAGGCAATTGCTATGCCAAGCCCGCCTGTTCCTCGATTAACTACTTACTCAGCAGAAAAAGCATGAGTTAGGAATGAGCCAGATTGAGAAGCGGCACAAGAAAGATTAAGAACGGGACAAAGCACTTCACAAGAGGAAACACTCCGAATTCTTGCTGAGGGAGTTGGTACCGCTTTTACCGGCATTTGAAGATTTTTTGCGGGAATGGAAGGAGCTTTGTATCTTTTGCTAAGTCAAGAGTTAAAAGACAACTCAGTTTGAACTTCTAAATATTTTGAGTGTCCATCTATTGAGGATGAAGAAAAAGGAAAAAAGCCAAGGGAAGCCAGCATTCCTAAGATTTATTTCAAAAGAAGCGGAGAATGAAGTAATACTCTTAGGGAAACTTCGTTAGATAGAGAAACTAGGGAGGTTTTTTTGAAAGAACAAGGACTTGCCAAAAAAGAAATGTGACATTTTCGCCGAACTCATATTAAGGCCACTTTAAAATGAAGAGGTATGCCATTTTGAAAGGGTAATTATTGAGATATGGCAAACGATATGATACTCACTGAAACATTTTCCCCTTCCGGCAATTGTATTACTATTGAAAGCGGCGGTAGAATTTTGGGTCGAGTCACTGAATTAATTACTGCCAAAATCGGAGGTGATGACCAAACCAAAGGAATTTTATCAACCATAATTACGGTTGCTACCACGGTAGGAATAACTGCGGCCACTGCTGGGGCGGGAACACCGGTGGCGGCTACGGTGGCGGCCAAAGCAGGAGTAGGTTTAGCAGGAGGAATGGCTCAACTTGCCGCTAACCACTTGATGCATACTCCTCAATATTCTGAAACCAAAGAAACAATGAGTTTTAACGAATTTCGTCACAAGTATGTATTGAGTGGAAGCAGACCGATTTCCTTAGAATTAGAATATAATCGAGATTTGGCTAATCAATATTTAAACAAAAGGGAATTGAAAGGTCCAATGCTCTATTCTTATAGAAATTACCAATACTTCGGTAATTTGCTAACTAGACAGCCCTCTAACCCTAGTTATCTTTTAAAAGCCTCGATAATCACTTGAAATATGCCTAAATACTCAGAATGATTTCGGGAAAAGATAGAAAAGCAAGTTTATATTTATGATGGAAACCATAGTGATTTTTATCAAAGAAAATTAACTTTTGAAGCAGAATCGGTTAGCCGAGGTGCGATTATAAGAAAAGATTGAGATGAAATTGTTACAAGAACAATCAGTACAAAAGTGACTACTCCCAAAATTAATATTGATAATGCTGAATATAATAATGTGGATTATATTGGTAGTCATGACTCTGCTTTATGAAATCAAATGGAGCCTGTTTTTAGAAATCGTTCAGGAACTCATATTGAACATTACAGCACTGGTGGAGGAAATAATTGTCTAGGTTGTCTAACCGACAGTAGTCACAAAACTGGTAATTATAACTTCAACATTGAATTTAATTTGACAGCGGGAGGGGTTATAGAAATTAAAAGTGTAGGTAGTGGAGTTCAAAAAAATCAAATTCCCCCCCAATGTAGGAACATTAAATTTTATAGGTCGAGGAAGTTATGCTTGATTAGAGTATGGTGAAGACAAAGAAGAAACATATAAAAATCGTGGTGGCAACCCCGCCGGAATTCCCCCATCTACTAACTTACCAACTGACCCCAATCAAGCCGAAATTCCCCCATCTACCCCTTTCAACCCCAACCAATTCCCTCAATCTGGTAATCTAATCCCTAATCCAACTGGTTCAGGTGAACAAGAATTTGCTGTCCCTGATATTGACAATGACTATGACCCTGATTTTGACCAAGGAGTTGATATTGACCCCACACAAGACATTGATCCAACTCAAGACCCTGATGAACCAACTGAGCCTGATGTTCCTCCTGATGATGATCCACCAGATGACCCTGATTAATGACCCCAATTTAGAAAAAAATTACAATGGAA